TACGCCCCTCGATCAAACCTCTTTACCCATGGTAAAGGCGGCCAACCTGGATGTCTCAGTCCATTGGTTTTGCTAACCACAAGGTCCTAATTACCCCCCCAACCTCTTTCATGTCCCGGAATCTGGTACTTGATAACAGGGACAGAAAACCGCTCAAATATAATGGTGTTTTTTGAGAACCTTGAGTACCCACCTTCCAGGCGCAAGTACCGAGTACGCCGACTAGGAACCCAGCAGTGAAGAAGTTGCTCGAAGTACCCGCTAGCAATAAACCACAGATCGACTCGAGGCCTAGAATTATGGACACGCCAATGACATAGAAAGAAAAACCATGATTTACGCCCACCGCATTGAGCCACCCTATACCCACTATATCATCAACTAGCCTCCTCAACCCTCTCATACTTGTCCGGTGTCCACGTCCTGTGATCGTTTTCCAGCCAATCATACACTTGTCTCCAGTCCCGGCAGGTATGCACAGTTCCATCGCCAGTAGCGACTGTATTCCCATTAGCCAATTTCTTCATCGTGCCGCCCGACTCTAGGGTTGTATCGGCGGCGCAGAGAATACCCTGTCGTAAATAATGGAAGCAGTGTGCCGTATGGTCGGACCCATCGTCCCCGTAGACAAGCACCGCGCGTATGTGGTTAAGGCAGTGCATCTGATGCCACATTGAAACACCAAACGCGAAGTGCTCCTCACCCAGGAAAACGTAACCCCTGCCTGGAGGGCGAATTTCGTTCCATTCAGCCGTGGCAGTGATGCCCTCCATCCCGTAGTGGGAGGGGTCGTCGTGGAACGCGGCTTGGATAGTGCGAACTTTTAGGGGGAGCTCGCGAGGTCGGTCTCCGGTGAGGTAGGCTACTCTACGTTAGCCATGAGTACATGGAGAAGCTGGGATGAGGCGTACTGTATTCCCGCGAACCCCGTGTGAGGATGCGCAAAGAGAAGAGGAGGGCGCCCAAGTTCAGGACGAGGCATACGCTCAGCACTGCAAGCAGGCCGAGGGTAAATCCGCGTAATTGGGGTGCCAGGGACTTGGGGAACATCTCAGTGAGCTGGTAGAGTGGTGCGTTGAAAGGAGCAGAGACAGATGGGATTTTGATCGGTATGAGAAGCGGGCTAACTGTGTGACACACCTATGCCCGTATATGCTCTCACTTGGGTGGGCGAGCCGTGATGGCCCTGAGGAGCATGCAAGGAGGGGATCCAACTGCTGAGATGTTCTGATCATTAAAGCAGTTATTCAAATGATTTCGTTGATGACGTGGCGGGTGTCAGTAGGCGGGGAAGCACACGCAAGGATATGTAACTTCCGAGATACCATGCTCACCACAGCCATTATTCAAAATTTGTAAATGACGTTGGTAGTGCTAGTAAGGAATGAAACACACGCAAGGTAGTTTGTAGTTTCGCATATAATACCACCCTACTCATAATGACGGTAACTAAATAGACACCGGGCTGGCCCGTCAGTCTATTAATGACTACCCCCTGCTTTGGCCGTTCTCCTCGCTAGGTAGCTGTATAATGAAGCTATTCGGGGTTTGCATGATGGATTATCGTCCCTCCTTACATTAAGGACGCAATAGGAAATTGGTAGGAAGTAGGTAAGATTTGGTAGTAACGCTGACCTTATCGCTACCCTCCTAGTGATCCAGCGGACCACACCATATGCATTACAACCAAAGAATACACTACTCCGTCTTTCGGTAATGGTGATGGACTCGAAGAGGGAAAGATCCTAGTTGGCACTTCAACCCATTCCTGAAGTAAGTAAGCAGACTTGTGCTCCTTCAGACGAGGAAACATATAAATTCCCAAGGGCATGACAAGCACTTATCACATTTTTTCAGCCAGTCACCTCTTCAACAAGCAACAAGAACATCTCATAAACAAGCCACCTCTTCACCTCGCCCGACAAACGCGTCCACTCACCACTGAACTCCGACAATGCATTTCACCACCCTGCTCAGCCTCGCCAGTCTCGGCCTGAACCTTTTCCCTCTCCAGGTCGCAGCGGCTCCCACTGCTGATTTGGCTGCACGCACTGAGGAGTCAATCAACCAGATCCGTCCCTCTGACATGGTCGAGAAGCGACACAAGTACGGAATAAACCATGACGAGATGGCACACGAGAAGCGCCACAAGTACGGAATAAACCACGACGAGATGGCACACGAGAAGCG